GTGCCAAGTCCGTCCTACGTCAGCGAGTCCGATTCGGCGTCGGAGCCGTTGTTTGTCCAACAAACAATCTCCAGAGGTATATAAGGTGTCCTGGCTGTCGTGAAGCCCCATCTCCTTCTCTCTTCTCTACTTCTCTCATCCGCTCACCTATTAGCAGTGTCCACGGTAAGTCTTGGGGTTGGGTAAGGTTACTCACCTGTGTCTTGCTGTTTTGTTGAGACCAGTAAGTCGTAGATTAGTGTTACTGACCCCGCTGTATAAACGGCACTTGTGTTCGGAAGCCCATCTATTCACCCCGGTTCTACGAGAAATGGCCGGTCGCCTGGTAGATGGGTCGAAGACGCGAGTGTTAGACGTTTCCACATGGTGGTGCGCCGTTCTTTCAGGACGTTCGCACAAAGCCCTCCTCCTGAGGCCATTCGGTCTAATCAACCGATGAGAGCCAAGAGGATCCCCGAGCCAGCGGGTTGGCTCGGGGATTTTTTTCGGTTCTTTGGGGCCCGCCAGGCCGGACCCCTCACGCCCGTACGATGTATGATTTTATGGACTTGCGTTCACTGAATTTTTATTTTTGCACTTGACTTTTTATTTTCGCACTCTCTACGTACAGCGGTTGCACGATAAGTATCCTAGCAATGTAGTTTACGATTAGAATGCAATTTGTGAAGCCATACAGTCCGCCATTGACGAGAATTTTAATCTCGAGTGTCCGAGTCGTCCCAACCGTTGTTCAGCACAGCCACACACCGCGATGTCAAAACATAATTCAGGAAGACAAGCAGTAAGGCCACGCTACCACGATGCCTTACTGCTCTTGCCAAAATTGAGATTTAGATCCCAACAAACTTCCATTCATACTTCTACTCCTTTGAACAAAATGGATAATAAGACCGCACTACCACCTCTACACCATATCACTCCTACACAACGGACACGAGCTCGAATGACTCGTACTAAACCACTTGTACAAACACGCCCCATGAAACCCATTCCGACACGTCCTACACGGCCTTGTCGGCAGCGTCCCGTCCACCACGCCAATAACACTATAACATATCGCGCACTCGACCTGCCCCTCAAAGTGTCCCTGCACATTGCGCTTAAACACCCCCAGCCGCTCGACGATGCGCCCCGCGCCGTGCTGCACCCCGAGCACCCACCGCCGCCACCGCTCCTCGTCCACCCCCACGCGCTTCGGCCCGCTCACAACGAGGCGCGCGAGCGGCCAGTCCGCCGGGAGCCGCACGCGCAGCTCCAGCGCGTGCTCGTCGACGAGGTACGCCGCGACGACTTCGGTGTCGTCCCGCACGATGCGCACCTTGAATTGGTCGTCTTGCAGAAAAATATCCCCACGGATCGCAGCGACCTCTGCCGCGATAAGCCCCTTGCTGAACCACTTGGCAGTGTACGCCGCAATCGCCTTGTCCACGACCAGCAGACTCGGAACGGTGAGCAATGCGCGGTGGAACAGGTGTGCGCGGAGGATCGGCTCTGCCTCTGGTTCGTATACTGAAGGAATTAGAACAACTCTAACATGGATGGGGAACTCACGAGAGATATAAAACTCGTCCAGCGCCCATCCGTCGAGGGGAAACATGGTGTCCACCACATTTTTAAACACCGCAGCCAGATCCCGCACCTGCTCGACGTACAGCGACTTGAGCTTGAGCGACGCGCCGTCGAACAGATCGAATAGTATCATCCACGCAAACAGGTCCTCATCCAACACATCCAGCAACTCTTGCGGGATACGCGCCTCCTCGTTGCCCACAGCCACCTCCACAACCCAGTGCTCCGTCCATGCACGCGCCGCCCTGTTCAACAGCGGGTACGATTCCGAGGAGAAGAGATGACAGAGTTTGGGAAGGACATCCCACTCCACCTCTTCCTCTGCAAGAATCCTCAGAGCATCAACGTCGTCGCCGCCCTCAACGACATACTCCAGTACATCTCGTACCACTTCCTTCCTCTTGCCTGACCACTCCTCACGTAACACCCTGTTCGTCGTAGCGAGCTCGTCCATGGCGAGGACCATCTTGAGGTCAACAGAGCTTGCAATCACGTCGTAAATAAACTCCCAATGCGCACCGGGAACGTTCTGCAGAATGGGGAGGAGCGGGAGGAGAAGCGTCGCAATGACCGGGTCCTCGTCTTCCTCCGAGACATACTCCTCCATGGCCCGTACCAAGTTGACCGCCCGCTGCACTGGCTGGACAAACACCACGTCACTCTCCTCCCTCGGAACACTCGCCGCCAGCTTCCTCATCGCGCGCACACCCCCGCCGTTGAGGATCGCGCCCGTCCACTCTGCCCGCCACCGCTCCATCACCTTTCCCTCCGCTCCTGCGCCACACAGCGCCTTTACCACCTCGTCTCCTCGATCCCCAATCTTGCGCGCCACACCGACCCATCCATCCGCCTCCCCTGGTTCAAGCTCGGAGAAAACAACTCCTAAAAGCCGAGACACCTCTTCGGGGTGCCATGCTGTATAACATCGCCGAGAAGCCACTCCAACCCAGAGGAAGCGGAGAGTACACTATCCACCGCCCTCTTCCTCGCCTCGGGAGAGTTGACCTCGTGCAGGATGTAAGCCACCACACTCCTCGCCCTCTCCCCCTCCTCTGCAAGAAGCGCGCGCACGGCCCACATCCTCTCCGGATCGCACGCCTCCCGTCTTCTTCGGATACACAGCAAAGTGAGGAATGTAGGCGGAAGAGGTACGAGTGACCAAGGATCAATGCCCGCCTCTTCTGCGAGGTCAAGCGCCTCTTCTCCGTCGAGGAGCATCCCCTTCAATGTTTCTGTCACCTCTTCCACCGGTAACACCGCACCCGCCCTCGGCTGTCCGGCGAAGAAGAGAAGAGAGACGAGTCGGGGTGTAAGACGCTCGGTGGGTATAGCGTCGATGAGGTCGAGGTCGGAGATGGTGGAGAGGATAGCCGAGTATCCCTCCTCGGAGAGAAAGAGTCCGGTGGTGTTCGCAGAATGCGCTTCACCATCTCTGCATCCGCGCCATCCAGATTATCCAACTTTGCTCCTCCTAACGAAAGAGGAACCTCCTCGGCCAGATCAACGAGTGTCTTGACATCCAGCTGCAGTGTATCCCATACCCTCTGCTGCTCCTCGATGTCCACGACGCGTAGATATGCCTTGATCACATCGAAAGGGAAGTGGACGACGCGTTCGGCGAGCTCGGTGTCACGGCGTCGCGACCAAATGTGCTGAGCATACCCACAATCAAGCCATTCTCCGACTCGGAAACGCTCTACGCATCACATCCTCCTTCAGGTCGAGGTCCATTGCCTTGACTAATGCTGGGATATCCGCAGGCCGTGCCTCCAAGACAGCCTTCCTTACTTGCTCGCTTCGAAGGGACGATATGTCCCACAATCCCCGCATCCACCTTGAGCTGACCACTCTTTAGTACCGCAAACGTCGTCTCCACTTGGTCCGGCACCGAGTGGGTGTGTCGTTTGTTCAACAGATCGACACACTCAAACACGCATTCCAGCAGTGCTTTGTGCTCGCGTCCAGGTAGCGTACGGCTATGGATCGGTGCCCATAGCGAAGTAAATAAACGCGATATCTGTAGAAACGTAAGCGATGGAAATAATACAGATTATGTCGCACCTCGTCTTCAGATAGCTGTAGTGTGCTGAGCACAACAACGACAGCGCCGTATCCCTGTGCGTTGAGTCCGTGAGCGAGAAACGAGAGGAAGGCATCGATATGCTCTTCCTCCCCCGGCCATCGCTTCAAACACCTCAGCACCGGCCCCCACATCACACTCTGCACTCCCGCGTCAAACTCGTTCCACGCCGCGTCTAACAGGGGGGCATCTTCAACATCCTCCTCCTTATCCAACAACACCCCCACGAGTCCCCACGCCGCCTTGCGCACACCCGGCTGTCCCTCACTCGTCAGACACTCCCACACCGCCTCACCCATCGTCACAGGCACATGCCCCACACACCACCCCAGCCCACCCAACGCACCCACCTCAGTCTGCCTTCCTATCCTCCTCCGTCTCCCCCTCATCCTCTTCCCCCGCCACGTGTATAGCTCCATACACTCCCATCGGATCCTCAATCGCCCTCACCAAATACTCCCCAACCCTCCGTCGGCGTCGCATACGCCCTCCACGCCTCCCTTGCCCCGATATTCCCGTCATGCGCAGCTATACACCACGCGCCGAGTATATGCTCGTCCTCCTCCTCATACCCGCGCATGTCGTCTCTCACCTCTGGCACAGCCACCAATGCGCGCTGTACATCACCTGCGAGAACGCGCAGCCGGCGGGACGGATGCGTGAGGAGCGACGGGAGGTGGTGCATCCACACCGGGAGCACAGTCCGCATCAGCTCTGTCTGCCCAAGCCACGACGCTTTGAGATCCTCGACGCCTCGCGTTCGTGTCACCAGGCTCTTCTTCCCAAAGCGCGCAGCGTTATCGCCAGCTCGGGCGGGATGAGCGATACGAGGTTGAGTGTGTCGAGCGGGTCGGGGCGCGCTGGCGCGGGTTTCGAGGGCGGTATGTACACCTTTTTGCGCGGCGCGGATTTAGCGTCTTTGCGTTCCTTTTTCGTTTTGCCTTTGGGCGGGGCTGGGAGGGTTGCTGGACGTGGACGGCCATCGGGCGCTTTCTTGGCGGCGTGTTTCTTGCGCGTGGCGGATGTCGCGGAGGATTTGCTTTTCGCCATGGATGGATGATTGGGCGTACGAGTATTTGTGAGTTCCCGTTGGTGTTGCAATCCTATGCAAGTACTCGTCAGAATCTGGACATACGGAGACGAACACCACTTCGTACCTCACAGCCAGATCCTACGCGATGTCGTAAACGTATATCCCACCCCAAATCCGAAAGTCTGCGATGACCGTCAGAGTCAACAGATGAACGAGCCTTCCGTCAACCGGGCCGATCAATGAATCATCGTGCTATGATATCATCACCCGATCGTCACCTCATCCCAACCTCAACTCAACGCAAAGCACACATTCGCTTGCCCCATGGCTGAGTTGGTTACAGCGTCCGACTGTTATCAGTACACATCTCTAAACATGCAATCGGAAGGTCGAGAGTTCGAGCCTCTCTGGGCAGTGAAAGGTCAATAATTTTTTTCCCAGCTGGTTAAAGTTTCCAAACGATTTAAATTTTAGCTTTTTGTTTTCTTCAATCTGAAACTCTGAATTAGGGTCGTGGAAATAACCTCCGGGGGTGGTAAATAACCGTTATTTACCTACCCTCCCAGAGGTCCAGGTTATTTACCGGTTAAAAACGGTTATTTACCTGCACGTGATATTTTCACGTGACGTCCCCGCGGCGGCAGCAGCTGTCAAGTGTTTTCAGTCTTTCCCCTCCGGATGCCACTTCCTTGGACCCATCAGAGTCAGATAGATTAAAGGCAAGAATAGTAATTTTCCTTGCCTCTGAATATAGTGTGGGCTACCTTTTTCCGTGCGCCACACATCACGTGGATATGTCACGTGCAGGTAAATAACCTACCTCCAACAGCTTTAGGTTACAAACCGGTAAATAACCGGTAATTTACCGGGAAACAACCTCTTGGTACTCTAACCTAGGTTGTTTCCACTACCCTACTCTGAATTCTGGAGCTCCGATAACTTCCAGTCCGTGTAACAGTCCACGCCAGGGTTTTGTGTGTCATTCAAGTTGTGTTTCTGGGCGCCATCAGTGACTGTAACGCAAATTTTAAAGCCTTTCAAGTTTGTTGTGGGTCACTGGCACTCGGGAGGGAAAAAGTTGGTTTTTTGTCCACTGGAATGGTAATAATACTAAATGGACTTGAGACCTGAGGTTGGTTAATTTGATCCTTCGTCTTGGGAGGACGTGGGGTCTAGCGGTGCGAGTCCTTACTTTGGATCGAGTACGGTACAACACCCTTTTTCAAGTCACTCTCCGTTCAGCGGGAATGTTTTTTCTGGGCAGCGCTGGTTTCGTGTGAGGTGCACCCGTCCGAGTTGACACCAAAAGACCCTCCAGTGTCCAGTTCAAACCAACAGTCTATCGGCGTCCAGATCCCGCCCGACTCTCATCGCCGACGCGAAGGCCTAAATTTCAGGGCCACATTCAGTAGTACCGCCATCGGGAAATAAGAGCGGCGTAGTACATGCGGCGAAGGCGGGGCCAGTGACGAGGACAGTGGGTATTACTCTAAATAGTGGAACCACAGTAATGAAGTTCTGCCATCATACAGATACGTCAACTATAAAAATCATGTTTCTAGAAATCGATGTCTTTTGTAGTAACACCACATTCTAGCTCTACCCTCGATGTCAGCTCATGAAATCTGTCTGGCCACTCCCTTCTCGTTTTAACGTACAACCAACGCGGAAACCGCACCGTTTTCAGACACCTGCCATGGTCTCTGGGTCTTGATTCAAATTCTGTGCCAGTCTCGTTTGTGACCGCACTCCGCCCATTGCCGTCCATGCCAGCGTTGGCATTGTCCTCCGCTTCCTCTTTCCCTTTCACCGTCACGACTGGCAGTCGGGAATATAACATCTCGAAGAGCTGGTCGATATCATTGTATAGAGTAGAAGCAAATCCGCATTCGCCAATGTCCAAGAAGCGCAGACATGGCAGCCTGACAGACGACCCGTTCACGAGTTTATCGAGACTGAGTCCCTCAACAAACTCGAGTGTCATCCTACGGTCCACAATACTCAACCATTCAATACGGTGAGCAAGTGTGAGGAAGTTCAAGAAATTCTGGGCATTATTCTTGTGCGACTTCATCTTACAAGAGACCTCCAGCTTGGTCAGGTTCCCAAGGGGAGGCGGTGATGTTGGAAATTGGGTGACCGAGGTGGCGTGATATGCGAGGGTGAGTTCAGACAGAGCGGGGATCGCCAATGCGGAGAAAAACTCTTTGGTGCGACCCGAGGCATTGCGGCTTTCGATGGTGGTAAGGAAGCGAAGCTTCGGGAGTGGGATGATATCTCGAATGGGTTTGTGTTCGTCCGAACCAATGACATCAACTTGGAGGTCCTCCAAGTTCACCAAGGTACGCAAATAGTTCAAACCATCTGCGTCGAACGCCGGAAAGGAGGTGATACAGGTAAGACGAGACCAAGGAAGCATAACGTGCTTCAAGGCTCGCCAAGATTGATCGGGAAGCAGTGCCACCTCCAAATTCCGAAGGATAGGCGTGCTCGTTGAGTTGAATACATCAACGCTGATGTCCCACTCGTACGAGTAACTATTTCCGAGCCAGAGTTCTCGAAGGTTTGAAAAGTGATTTCCGGAAAGGCACTGTAAGGACGTTCGCGGCAGGTCCACTTCTAGGTACTTCCAACGAGGAATACTGACTTCAAGGATTGGAAGGACTGGACGACCCTTGATACTTTCTTCGCTCCCAAGATAAACGGTCATGGGGCGGCCTCTGGACCTGTCGGTAAAAACCCCCACTTTATACGCACACTGGAGATCTGTGATGTGATCCATCTGCCTGTCAAAATCAAGGAAGAGATGCGTCCACAGCTGAGGTGAATCTATCGCAAGCTCTCTCCAACGATGACAGACTCGAGTCAAAAGCCACGGGGCTGCTTGGGGGTCGAGTGAGTCAGGATCTTCGTCGTTGGCAGTTTCCGATATACAATGACCGAATATTGTGACAAGAAGTTCATTGGGGATGGAACGCATGGGATGGAGGATTGACTTCGCGTCCTCGAGACGCGACTGTGCTTGTTGGCGTGCTGAGAGGAGGTTGTTTAGCAATTGCAGTGCCACGACAATCTTCAAGTCCAGATCTTCGAGAGCAGTGCGCGTGTCCTCTGCAATCTTGCGAAACGCAGGAAGCTCAACGTCAAACGGAGGATGGTTCTGACGGAGAAGTTCCTCTACGCGCACTGTCCGAGTCCCACCAGAATCCTCCGCAGGCTGAAGTAAAGGACAGGCGCAGTTGACACAATATTTTTCAGTCGTAGTATCCGCCATGTCTGGAATCCAACTGGTTTCAGTTCAATGTGGTAAGATTCAAAACTGGGGTCTTTCACCTGTAATAGTCTTCAAGTGGTCGGCGAGAGTAAGCTAGTGCTGATGATTAGTCTTGTGCATTCTTTCAACATCATTGAAAGTAGCTTACTTGAAAAGGACGCGGTACTAGAATGCGAAACGCGTCGACACCAAAATATCTGTAGCGAGTTCGTCGCAGCCTATTCTGTGTCTCAGCCGTGAACTCCAATCTGCGAGAGAAATCAAGTTACCGGATATTCTCCGAATACGCGATACCTCGTAGCGGGCTGAGCGCGCAGAACGGTTCCTGCTTGGCAATGGATGATCGTCGAAGAGAAAGGAGGAACGTCCACGTGCCACCGAAAAAATGGCCCAATTCAGCAAACGTCTCTTCGTCGGAGTCTTCGAACAGGAGGAGGCGTGGTCTAGCGAGTTCGCGTACTTCTATGTAACACCTGGCTCAAAGGAATATTTTTCGCCCAAGTCGATGATCCTGTTTTCATGGGGGGTGCTCAGGAAAATCTAAATTTCTCTGCTGACAACTTATGTAACCCACCAGTTCAATTCCCTCGCCCGTCTCTCTGTACTGCGTCATGCATTTCTGCTATATGAACCAAGTCTTCTCGGGACACGGAGGCTCGCCCAGCGGTACGTGAACACTGCTCTCAACCCAAGTAACATTCATGATAGCGCGACTGTCTTTGGGTGAAGAGGCTGCGACTATCTGATTGCTCTACAAACAGCGACAGATCACCACCCAATGGTTCAAGCCCGCAACAACATATACAACCCGGTTGCTGTTGCACTGTCGAGTCGTGTCTGCACAATATTGTGAGACCTCCACATGGGTACTTGCTAGGCCGCCCCGCAGCATTCCTTTTCGTGTGGCGGAAAGATCTTACAGGGCTTTAATTAAGATCAAGGATACATTCAAACCGATGGCCACTGTCATGAGGGACATTACACCTCCTAGGTGAGTTGGCGTAAAGTGTGTGCAGAAAATGTTACATTGCTTCCAACACTATGAAAGTCCGAGTGATCAGTACACCCGTTAACACGCTCCATCCACCAGAGCCTGCAGCCGCTTAAAATCAAGCGTCCCCATACCCGTAACCTACACACCCACATCAGACTCCTCACTGAAACACCGAAAAACGAGGACTTACAGGATCCCATCCAGCTGTCGCCGAGAACCCTACACACCACCAAACCATTTAACACCTCTGCTGTTATGCGAAAAAGAAACAACACACCATCGGTACCACACCCCGGATTCGCGCCAACCGTTATATCATTAAACGCCCATGCATTCTTATAAATGAGCGGGTTCAAGAATCCCAGCGGCGCGCGCTTAGTGGAAAGGAGGTAATCGTTCAACAGGCTAATGACAGCAGCCGCCGTCTAGTACCAGATCTAGAGTCAGCAACGCGGATTGATGGATGGATGGATTACGCACAGGCGAACTCGCACTCGTCCCTCCAATGCTCCCAACCGTCTCGTTCAGCACGATGAGAAAGTTCTCAGCCTGCGCTGCGATGTCCGGGAATCCACGGCCCGCGCGACTGCAGCATAGTAGGGATCAGGGCATGCAAAGACACACAAATAGACTCAAGAGACGCACTTGTACAGCCCCTTATATGTATCGCCCATCGCCGACACATACTTCAGTGTAGCTTGCGCTTGATACTTTGGCGTAGAAAAGTAATTCGAGAACCCGCCACCGGAAAAGTCCCAAGCGCTCTCGACGACGCCGGTCGTGCCTCCGACAGCAGTCACATATGGACAGCTAAAAAAATGAGTTTGGTGAAAAGGAAGAAATGGAGGTGTGCCCACCTAGCCGGAAAGATAGGCTGGAACACCATCTTGTCCGAGCCGTCGTTCTTCAGACACTCCTTTGCGTTGTCCCCACCAACGCTGCAGTCGGGTGAGCCCACATCACGCACACACACAGAACTTTGACGCGTACCCGGAATCCCCACTCGCAAAAAGCACCGTACTACCTCTCGCGCCCAACTTTGCAAACTCATTGCACACGCGGACGGCATAGTCGTATGGGACCTAGCTCCCACTTGAATCAGCATAGTAACCACAACTCGGAGACAGCGTGCACGGACCGTCTGTTC